AGAAGAGCGTAGAGGCGGTATAGATTGCAATATTCGCACAAGGACCCACACGTTCAGCACACACTCAGCTGATCGCCGAGTGGTTAAGCAATGTTTTATTCCTGTTCGGTTACTCAACGTTATTCTTTTTGCTGCAGCGGACCTTTATCTATGTTTCCACCTTGAGAGGATGAAAATGGCGAGTTTTTTACTGTTAACAGTGTATTTATTTGCTTAATCTTATGAATGAATGAATGAATTCTGAAGGACATTTTTGCTTACTGTAGCTAGCTTATCGCATCAGGGCCCACACGTACGCGATGACACACATTGTACAGCTCGCCCAAATACCCCCTTTACTTCATTTTTTGGTCTTATTCTCGTCCAGCCCTCTTTAGCAATTTTTTCGAAGGCTTTGATCAGCTTTCGACGACGATCAGTCGCGAGTTGCTGTTTCCCTCGTACTTATGATAATAAAGAGGATCGCGACGTGATGGTGACTGGGTCATGGCTTCCAGTGTGAAGACAGGCAGAAGATCATTAGTTAGGGGCGAACAACTCTATGTTGCTGTTCATTTTGGGTTTTTTTAAGAAGTCTAGACTTCGAAAGTCTTTCTTGTTCGAATCTCGGCCTCCTACGCACCTTTGTGCTTTGTGTTCCCGAATTTTATGTCGACCAAGCGCCGATCGGAATGATTCATCAGACTATTCAGGTGTTCTTTTGATCGCAAGGTGATAATCTGGCTAGTGTACTGAGATAAGAAATTCAACTCTCATGAAGTTCTTCTCGTTATTTGTTTATTCAGGTGAAGGTGGTGTAGCGGCAAGTAGCGTAGCTTCACAAACGCATCGCTACCGGTTCGAATCTTGGATCAACATCCGCTTGGGCCAACAAAGCCTTCCATCCTTCCGGGGTCGCTTAATTGGATTAATGTTCAAGTGAGAGCTTCCATCCTTGTCTGGGAGGTTCATCTGACCTGTACATTGGCTGACCACCACAAGTCATTGTATAAGTCACGTACGCATTCATTACGCTACTACGACTTTGAGTGGAAGTCGAGTACGGCGCACCCCTTCGACGGGTTGAACAACGCTAAAAACTTTATCCCTTTATTCCTCGTGAATTCATCTATGGTTCGCAAACAGTGCCCATTTTGAACTGGGTAGATATTGCGATGAAAAGGTTATCAATATGTGTAGGATTGGAAGATGATATTCTAAAATTGGTTTTTCAATTCTTCGATTTGATTCGTCACACCGAGATGAAAAGGACCGACCTGTGAGGCTTATGGCTATGCAAGAAAGTCGAACTCAGTCTGGGAGTGTCGACGTCTATCATGCTATGTTGTTGGGATGAACGGCTTGAATAGTCTCGCTATTTTTAGTCTTGGTAGACGGGACCATGCCAGAGAGAAAAGGTGATTCAACTTCATGGGTCCAACAAAACTTTCTTTTTTGTTACAACGATAGATTACATTTCATTCATGCAGATGAAATTTTTCTATGGCAAGTTCATTATTAAAGAATTTGCGAATAATGTGAAAATGCACAATTTTAAGGGTAGCATAACATTCAGATTAAAGGAGAAGTCCATTCTTACTGCAAAATGATTTTGAACCGATGAAACCCGTGGACATTCATTTATGTGCTGAATTTCTTGACTGTTCATCGGAAGTCCATTGCAAATGAAGTCCTTCCGAGATTCCAAAAAAGGCGGAGATGTTCAGAGGTTATTGACAACAATAGAGTAGTCACTGCCCGGAACACTGAGAAGATACGGACCGTCGAACCTGGAAATAATTCGCTTAAATAGTGGTAAAAGTTATTCACAAAGTTAGCACGGTATTGATCGTGATGAGGGGGAGTCGGAGGGGAGTAGAGAGATAGAGGAAGAGATGAAGATGTGATGTGGGTGCGTGTAGATGATCGAACACGGGAAATTTGTTTTCGTTTAAAGGATAAAGTAAAGGATAAAGTTTTTGGCGTTAACAAATCCTGTCTGAGGGATGCGCCCCCGCACTCGACTTCCATTCAGAATCGTAGTGGCGTGATAAGTGCGTATGTGGCCTATAAATCACTTGCGGTGGCCAGCCGAAGTACAAGTTAGTGCTTTTATCCTCCCAGACCAGTCTGGTACCAATTCACCGACCCCGGAGGGATGGAGGACTTGGTTGGCCTAGATCCGGGACTCGAACCCCTGACCGTGCGTGTGATATAGTGCGCCACTTGCGACCACCTCCGCCCTTGTTTTCGTTTAGAGAGAGATAAATATCATTCATCACGGTACTAGCAACCAGTCATCGTTGAAACTATTTGTACAGGAGGCGTCAAAGTTCTGAGTGGACATCGAATTCGGGCTTAATTCCGGCAATTAATACGGACTGTTACTGTACGAAAACAAGATTGGTGCTAGGAAAGTGCTGGTGCGTCGCAGTGCTAGTGCTAAAGGACCGAAGTTAAGTGAATGGCCATCGCAAGTGAACTCTTACCATTCATTGCTTTTGTAGACTTTCAAATCACCGCGTATTGCGAACCGGTCAAACTGCCTGACTAACGCCAGGCTTCCTTCCTTTTTGTGTTAAACTTAACCTCCCATCACATACACCGCGGTAGGGTAACTCGATCATCGATGGTATCCCATTCGTGCCTTGTTGTTTGCTTATTCGAGTAGTGGAACATCAGCAATAGTGGGGTTTTGGTTTTGTTTTGATTTTTGTTTTTTTTTTGCAAGGTTGGTCTCTTAAAGAATACATTCCGTGTTCAAGTTTGTAGGAGATGATGCAAGTGGTTTAGCCTGTTAAGCAATTGGTCGGGTAAGCAACAGATCCGGAGCCTCGGACTACTTTCGGGTCCTTAACAATGACGACTTGTTCTAAACGTTTACCAACTCAAAAAGTTCCACTTCGACTTTTTTAGCTGGAAATATCATGTTCCGTGCCCGTTCACCACATTTTTAAAAGCCGTTACTGAAGGTGGTCAGTTCAGTCTGAAAAGATCTATCACTTATAACTTCCCTTTCCCAACAGCAGTCTTATGTTCATAAACACAGAATATTTTATCAAAATCACGGCGGCTGGTACGTTAAGGGCACAGTTCACGATAATTTTAAGGTTTCCTTTTTAGGTTGAAAAGCGGAAGGGTCGATGTAGAGAAGTGCATCGGTGGAGGAAAAGCGAGGAAATCCTCCTTTTAAGGATATCAAAAGTAGTGGAAGTGGAGTTTGTACGAGATCACCATGACGGAAATGGCATGTAAAGGATGTTTGGACGAGATTTAACTTCCTCATTTCTTGCAAACAGCTGGCTACATAGCTGTCCAGAATTGCCTTTCACTGTTACTATGGGTCATGACAAGTTGATTGAACTTCCTACGTGGGTTCCCTTGTGAATGGTGCAGCCTCCACAGAGCCGCTGAAACTCGTCCACTAGGGGTGTGGCATACACAAGACACTATCTCTGGTCCCTTGTTGTGCCCTATCCAGGACGTTTTTCGCCCTTATAGCGGCAGGAATGGTGTAAGGGAGAGCTCGAATCCATACCACAGGTAACTGCGCTGTCAGTGCATGCGGACCCGGAACACTTCGAGCCCTTTCTCTTGATTCCCTTTAATCTTCGCTATCTCCCCATGGCCAAAGGCATATATTAGGGGTTGGACTTCGTGGTGAGAGGGCATCTTCCAAGAAACCTGATCTCAGCGGGAATTCTCGCGATAACGCTTGGTAGCGGTCGCTCAATTTATCATTTTACTGGGTAAGTTTCAAAAGATATTGCCTCGGATTATTAGCAGTACAGTCTTATCATTCAGAGCTCAGTGCTCAAAGAAGCAGTCAGGACCGAGACTGATTTTGCCGATTGCTCATTAGGACGAAACTCTGGAGCATGTATCGAAAGACGGCCGGAAGTGGTGGAGTTTACCTCGGAGGTCGTTTTAGAAAATCCGAAGTTTACTATGTACGGCAACTGATGTGTGTTTGATACAGCTGAGTGAAAGTGACGCCGCGCGTAAACGTCAAGAAAACGAGCTCACTTTCACCCTGAGGCTTCTCTCTGTTACGGGAGTCGGAACTTCTCCCCGAATTCCCACGGCAAGCGGCAAAGGTCACGCGGCGGCTACCCTATTCTTGCTCTGGGAATTCAAACCTTTCCCTTTGAAGCGCTCTACGATCGGGAGCGGAGAACGCGACGCCGCCTTCGGGGAGAAGATACCGGTCCTTCTGTCCCCATCTCCTTACACATTATTAAAAATGAGGAGAGGTCTGAGGGAGTAAAACTTTGGGGCTGGTTGCAGTTTTTGTAGTTTTGTTTAGCCACTGGCGTACTATTCAGCATCAACTCTTATTTTTCTAAGATGTTTTATCATAAATTGTGTCGCGAGCAGTTTTACCGTCGAAAATCGCTTTTATCCGCTTCAGCACATGTTCTCAACGGAGCTGCGGGGAAACGATATTTTGGTCAAGTGCTTTACTCGAAAGGAACCCAAAATCTCCTTCTTTTCCAAGTTAGTGAGTAAAGGTAGGGAATCGAGGTTCTCACTGATACACAAATCGAATAGCCTAAACTTCGCCACTTCATATTGAAGTATAATATTATGCCGAAGCCTTCTAGAATACTTCTCTATTTGGCCGATTCCGTGGCAGGTCTAATCATTAAATAGTCCTCTACTAAGCTTGGATTGAATTTCAAGCATGTTTCTGTGACATTTCGAATTGTTCCCTCTTTTTTGAAAAAGTGGAAAAGAAAAGAATTCAGAGCAGAATGGTGAGTTGACGACTCAAAAAGCACGGAATCATCTGAAAAGTCCTTCTCTAGAGGGGAAATTTTTGGTGTGAATATATTTCGCACAGTAGATACATTTCATTGGTAAGGGCAAAATTAAGGTCTCCCAGTTCTGTCGGGTTTGAATAGAGTAATTTTCGCAGTTTTTTAAGGTCAGTTTTAGCTTTTGTCGATGTTTTCCAGGCAAACGAGTTTTGGCAAATGGATAAGATGAAATAAATAAATAAATAAAAGAAAATATTTGCACTCATCAGTAAATGGAATTTTCAGACTTTGGAAGAGCTATCAGCCGTTTCTTTTGCAAACTTTTGAAGAGTAAAATATAATTTGCAAGGCTGGAAGCCTAACCGTCTTCTTAGGCTGTTGTCCGAAGTAACAAAAAGACCAGAGCTTTCCCGGCATCTATCATCAAAGTCAACACAAAGTATGGAAAAGAGGAGGTGGGAGGTGAGAGGGGGCATGAGGGGCCACATGGAAATTTCGGAGCTGGTCGGAGGGGTCGTGATGGGCGATTTCACTCTACGCCATGCTGGCCCTGGTCGAAATATCTTGAAAGACTTGTGAGTGGTTTGCTCTAGCTAACCACATACACTAATTTGACATTACAAACCTTTGAGTTCCAAGGTCCTGTATGGAGTTGGTGTCGATTTTGATCGAGTGCCTCTTCGCAAAGATTCCACGCCGATCGAGTGTCATACACTAAAATTTTTGTAGTGGATGATTTGAATAGTTCAGTCCTACAAAAGTGCCACAGAATAGCGAGTTTAATTTGTTTTTTTAAAGGAAACAATAAACAAAAAGGAGATTGGGTAGAAAAATTTGTACCTCATAGCCTGCTCGTTGAGCATGATCGAAAGACTCCTCATAGCTTGGCAGGATTTCGATTCTTGTGTGTGACTGCTTAAAAATTCCGATTAAATATGCGATTTAGCCCCAAGGATGTCAAGGAAGCTCATTGTGACAGCGTTCCGATGGCCAGCAAAAAAGAGGAAAGCGACCGGAATGGCATAACATTCCAAAAGGCATCTTTGTAATTTCCCGTGCTCCAATGGATTCCCATGGTCCCCATGTAAGCAACAAACTGCCCTACTACTAGATTTTCTGCCCTCATAGGTCCATACTGGTTTCCTTATTCGACCATGATATTTGCGGAGGAGGCTGTCACCTTGATATCCGACCTTGGCGAGCCTTTGTTTCAAGCGAGCATTTCTGCGGGGGTTTTTGTCTACACAGCGCAATTCCCTCTTACACCCACTTGGACCCAGCTGACCCTTCACTGATGGAATGCTTTTGGAATGCTGAAGCTAATCGGAAGAAACTAGTAATGAAATTTCGCTCACCATTGTCGAAGTTGTGCTCTGCGATCCTAGTTCACTTGCATCTGGCGTGGGGCCTGCATTTGTCCTATTCTTCTTGGCTACTGTGGGTGTTTTCGCACTTTGCGCGTTTGGTCTCGGTGGAGCGATAGGTTTATACATGGTTCCTGGGGAGATTTGTTTAGGAGCAGTAGCTTCATGTTGGGTAGCAACGGGCTTGTCGCTGCAACTGTTCATCGCTTGAGATTCTGTCAGCTGCTTCAGAAATTCCGAAACTTCGAAAACTGATGACGACCCGGTTGGATCATGCATGTTCTGCTCGAGGCTTGACTTCTCCGTAGCCGTCAATTTGTTCTCATTGGAAGGTTGCGAAGTTTTCTCGTCGAGTCGCTCACTTTTTGGAGACATTGAGTCATTCATAATTCCATTCTGTTTAATTATGGGATTTAGAGTAGGAGGGGGATAAGGCGGTGGTGCTGGTGTATGGAGTGTGACAGGTGGTGGTGGGCCAGCCTGGATGTCATTTAGAATAGAACCGTTCTCGCGATTCAGAATTGGTGGAGGTGGGAGAATCGGTTTTGGCTGCAAGTCAACTGGTGGAACTGTAATGTTAACAGTATTGTTCCGATCGGGATGTGTGAGCCTTGGTGTCGTCTTGGATTTTCGTGAGTAGTCGTCATTGGACTGGTCCTTTTTCTCCTCCTTTTTTCGACCAAACATACTCAGTTCCAGCCATCGTTGTTTCTCCTTAAAATGAAACAAATAAGTGTTACAGAGAACGATATTGTAAGCTATGACAGTCAAAGATCATTAACGGAAATTTTACAGAAAAAAGACTTAGGAACTGAGTAAAGCCTAAGACTCATCACAATCACAGTAATAAGGTCTGCAACCGCATAAAGTAGGGGAGACACAGCCGCTCACTGGGGCAGCCGACGCCCAAGACACCCGTCCTCTTATTTTTTCTTTTCTCGGTTTCACTACGAGCTTGGTGAGTCGAGTAGATACAGTTTGGCTGTGTAGCCGTGGAAATAGGTGGTGGGGTTATGAGCGCCTATTGCCTTCGGCTCTGAGTTACTGCTCTCCAACGATGGGGCTACAAACATCATGCGGACTCAGAATATACGACTTGAAAATCGGTTTGAAAACCATCCGGTTTTCGAATCACGACCTTAGAAAACAATCAGAAGCTGGATACTCACTCTGACAGCAACTGATGACTTTTCTACGAACCTTGTCTCCCTCTGAATCGTTGCCCTTAGCTGTCCGAGCCATTTTCAGCTCTACTGAGATAGCATCGCCTGGGCCGGTTCTTGAGATTCGTTGATCCACCTTCGCGCAGAGCGGTCGAGTTTTTAGGGATGCTCAAACTAGGACGACTAGTGGCATGGAATCGTAGAGTGTGTACTCACAATGTTTTTAGGACTGCGAAAGAGTGTAGGGTGCGACGAGCATGTAAATGTCCGTGTGGAGAAAACCTTTTCTCATGCAAGTCTCAGAGCTCCAAAAATGGAGCTGCTTCATCAACGAAGACCAGAACTAGCAGAGCAGTCTGTCCTTTGAAGCAGGAGCGTTTAAAGAAACTGTACAAAAAGTGACATGGTATTTAACTATATAAACTACCACCATGAAGAAGACTTCATATCTCACGACATTTCGCTAGAGTATCTACATATTGCTACATTATCTATGTCCTGCTTCATGCAATAATGTTCGGAACGACAAGGGAACTGTCACAACGAGACCGGGCAAAAGTTACAAAATTTGCCAAAGTACACAAACGTTATCACCCTTGCACAGGCTGTGTAAACTATGGCACCAGAAGGGCTTAAAACAGTCTGTACAAAATCCGCCACATCCCTTCTGCTATTTAGGATCATGGTTGCTGGTCAATGGAGTTTACAAAGCATTACAACTGAACTTTGACAGAACTTTAAGCTCGTGATTGGAGGAGGAGTTATAAATAAATGTTCTTATGTAAATAACAAAATGGGTGAGTTAGGGCTCTCAATAGACCTCAGCATGCTATTATAAAGCTTGCCCCAACACTTTACAAAGGTGGTAAGGAGCTGTAATTGTTGTCGCTTCAACCAAGTCACCCTCACAGCTTGATAGTCTTTAAAATCACTCAGCATCAGAATGTGAACTGGTTACATACAGGTCAGGATAAATTAGGTATCAATTCCTAAGTCGGCACCCACTCTAAACGAATGAGCCTTCAATAAGTCCGTAGATTAGGCGTATTTAAGAGCTACAAATTTTCAAATAAAAGACGAGCGCGATCTCAAAACGGATTTAACCAGACAAGGAATTCATCCTTTCCCTTCAGGATGATTCCCCTTACAGAAGAATTACTCAATCTACGCTGAAATTCATTGCTGAAAATGTGTTTGGGAGTGGTGAGGATTATGGGTGAAAAACTCTAAGCCTCAGTCCGTCTTGTTTCGATGGTGCCTTTGAAATACACGCTCATTCTAGAGGTCACGGAGTTGGTAGATTTTGGTAGTATTGATGGAAATAATTAGTTTGACTTCCTAGACGACTGGAACTAGAAGCATTAAATCGCTCTCACTGCAAGCGCAAATGGGGTTCGTACAGGACAACAGCTGGTCACACTTTGTGCACACTTCGCCAGGCTTATAATCTGGTCTCCCACATCAAGGCCGATGAAAACTACACAAGTTTGGAGGTAGGAAAGTAAGCATGAACAGAACCCTCCGATCCGCTTCATATTGTAACTCCGTGGGGGGGGGGGGTTGACCTTGGGTTTCTATTCTCATGGAGAACTGCCGCAGAGAATAACCCAAGTGATACGTGGAAATCGGCTTTTCCAAAATATTTGCGAATACCGAGCGAATAAGTTGAGGATTGCTTACTTGAGACTGCCAGAATAACCCGAAGAAGGCAGAAACCGACCTTGCTTGTAGGCTTGTCGTAGATTTCTTGGTGATGATCGGTAACGACGGATTTCTTCGTTGGACGATACTCGTCAATAAGGCGGCGAAAGGCTGACACGTCTCGCGACGTTTCTTTCGTCTTCAAGCGTTTCCGAAGAGCATTTCGGATCTCTCGCATCGCCTGAAGGATACGAGGTTACTAGCGGTTAGAAAGACTCACAGGCTCAAGGTAGTTTCTCACATCATCGACATCCACAGCCGTTGCCGAGTAGATATTGCATAGTTTCCACAGATTCACATACTCCTCCTTCTTGAAGTCCATTTTTCGAAGATGTCGAGCGCATTTCATGCGAGCTCGGCTCAGATCCTCAAGCTTTCTCACCGGGAGATCGACTCTGAAAAAGTTATTCTTGAGTAATTTGAGTAATGTTCCCAAAGCCTCCCACTTATTCAATAGGCTCGAAAAATATTATAGACAAATGGCTTCGTTCTTATCGTGGTTCTAAAAGACCGAGTTGTCTGCCCACAGTGGGAATCGATGCAAGGGAACCTAATATTTTTTATAGGAAAGCCAGGTATTTGATTGAATGTATCCTCTACTACGCTACTCTGATCTTCGTCAACGTCTACAGTGAAAGTCTCACAAAGAGTTATCCCTTGATGCACGATGACCTTCGCTGAAGATGATTGACCAGAGTGGAATTCTAAGTTGAAGTGACCGCTTGAAATGAGACCTATACAGGGAGACGTGTTCTCGGATGCTTATTTATTTATTTATTTATTTATTGCACATGCGTGCGCCATTGAACAAANAAGGTAAAAAGCAGTAGCATGGAAGAGGAAATGGAGGTGACAACAAAACGCCTCCGCAGACACACTTACAACGCCAATGCCCGGACTATGGAGAAATCATTCAAGAAGAAAAGACCTTGAGCCAGGATTGCCAACTCATGCCTCGAGCATAGTGGATCCCGCACATCTCACAATTAAACACTAAGCCACCATGAGCACCCACACTATGTTATCAGGAGGTGGTTGGGATGCTAAGTTAGAGTCATCACACTATATGAAATAAGGCGAGAGCAGAAGAGCAGATGAGTGCAGGTCAGCCTAGGCAGCGCAACTAACCGAGGTTATTCCGGGGCGGGCCAAGTAGGTACCTCTTTGATCTAAGTACGAACCGCAGGCGTAAGATAAGATAAGACAAGGCTTATCTCAAATTTGCTTTCTAAATTTGCACGAGGATCCTCTGAGCGGAACTGTGAAGTGGTTCAGGGGTGAGTTAGCACAAGCTAATACAAATCATATGTAGTTTCCACACAGGCGGCTTGGTGCAGTGGTAAATGTGCTGCTTTGTGTGCGAGAATCTAAAGCTCGGACCAGTGAAAGAGGGGAGAATGTTTTTGCATTATACAGAATTTTTTCTTTGATATCTGGAATTTCCTCTTTTATTGATTTTATTGCATTCTACGACCTTTTCAAGTTTGAGGTAATTTTTTATTATTTTCTTATTTTATTTATTTATTTATTTTATAACTTATTTTCCAATCCGGGCCGTTCAGTATTGCTTCCATAACATTTATGCTTTGTTTGTATTCATATGTATATGGATATGCACGCTTTACAATGCTTAGTCTTGGGAGGCTTCATGAAAGTAAAAAGGGTGGCGCGATCGCTCTCTGCGATCCCACTCTTTCATCGCTTACCTTACCTTTTTACTGATCACCAAGGTCAGAGGCTTTTCATGGCAGTCCAGATCTGTTATACGAATATTCTGCATTACACTAGGATTCTCATCCTAACTTTGATAGAGAACCATTGGCGAGCTTTTGGAAAGGACTGCGATCGTGTGTAGCGACTCCGGTCTCAGCAACACCAATGTTGCTGATGGTGGATTCGTAGGCAGCCACTTCCTTCAAAAAACCAGCTGGAGATGACCCTTCTTGTACTACTAGGCTAACACAGCGAAGCATCATTAGGTCGAGTAGAGTGCGATGAAATTAAATAAAAGAGGATTCTTAGCCTGAATGGAAAGATCCTTTAGAATCCGATGATGCCGCCCGAATCACGGTCTTTCGCATAAGAAACGTCGCAATCGCTATTGTTTTAGGGCGCCATTGGAAAGAGCGTGAATCCGTGTCGTTTTACATGAAATATATACAGACGTTATCTTACATATGTTAAGTGATCACGAAAAAACACCTTCATTACTCCGTTCAGAGAAGTGTTTGCCATATTTGGAAAGCAGACTGTGATGAGCATGCGAAAACAATTCTAGCAGCAAAAGCTCTATTCCAAATCTCCACTTCGCCTTGGGAACTTCCGTATTGAAATCGCCTTTACGTTCATTCGCAGCTACATGCTCCACCTTTCCTCTCTCTCTTACCTTTCATACCCACTTTTTAATTTGTCCCATCTCCTGTTGTTGACCTTTTCTATATGATCAGGTAATGGTAGGCTCACCCGAGCGAGACTAAAGATCGTTATTAGTTAAAATGGTATGCAGAATCAGACCAATCATGCAAAACTGCTACTCTGTCCAAGAAGAAATTCATGAGCAACCAGCGCAGTCCGCATACAAATATGATGAACCATGTGTTAGGTTGAGTCATAAGTCCTCGGACAATGTGATTGTGATGACTTCTAGAGATCATAACTCGGGAAAGACGTGATGAAAATGGATGCGCGAGGCACCGTTAGATAGAGTATAAAAAGCTCTTCCAAAGAAATACTAACGAGTACACCTGTCCATTTCCTGCGCTTGAGTGTGAGGAGAGAAAGTGCCATGTCGGCGCGGCAGTCCATGTCATACTGCTTCAAAGCATGAGGCACCCATCGACCGAGCTTTCGCACCTTGCCGTTTGGCTTCAATCCACGAATAATTGTGGACTGATTCCCCAAGGGTGATTGCCAGTCCACGGATAGTTTGATGCGGATTGGCTTCCCCCTGACTCCACAGCACCTCCAAATCCAACTCCATTGAGCGTCCCGGACGGTCTTCATTTTCGATGGAATGGTCGTCCGAACTTCGTGTGCCACTTGTGAATTGTGAATCTAGTTGGAGCAACCTTCTTGTAAACTTCGTTCATACGTCTATCGATCTCCGCGGGTTCTTGGTCAGATAAAAAAAGGAATAGGATGGTGATGCGGAGGTGGAGTTGCGACGGCTTGAAATCATGGGGCATGGTTGCAGGAAAGGAAGTAGTTAAGTGTGTTCGGTAGCATGTATTCTGGAGAGCTTTTCATACTCTATCTAATAGTGCCACGCTCGTCCATTTTCGTTTCCTCTTTCCCGAGTTATGATCTCTAGAAGTCATAGCTATCATTTTGTCCAAGGACTGAAGCAAGCTGAAACGGTGGAGATACTGAACCCAGCAGCGAACCCCCTAATCATTAAGGGTGGATTGAAATAGGCCAATAAAGAGAAAAACCAAGAGTGTAACTTCGAAAGACCGAATAAAGAATGAACCTTCGCTGTTGATATTCGATTCAACTCAATTTGTTCGATCAATACCGCACGCCTTGGGTGGTCCCTCATAGAGACCTGCACTGACTCTGCTGTCACCGAACAAACTAACAAAGGCTAGTAGCGGTCATTTCAAGTCAGACTTTACTCGCTGTCGGTTTCGCCCGTCAACAGAGATACTTATCGTACAAACTGGTGGGAAACTTTGTCTTCGCTACCATGCCTACCCTTTTTAGCGTCATACTTGAAGACAGCCTGTTTTACCTGCTTTGTGCAATAGAAGCTATAGTAGAGGATGCAATGATCGCCCGCTTTATTTTGATTGCCTGAGACTTTTACATGTTCTTGGTCTTACCGGGATCTATGAATAAGAAGTTAATGCGAAGTGAGAGTGAAATTCTTGAGAGTTCACTTCGAAGAAACCTTTTTGAGCCTCAGAACGAGCTTGTTCTTTGGTAGATCCGATGATCTAACCTCCAATGAACGTTCGTGCCAGTTTTGCTTCCTCTGAAAGTCAGGTAGCAGTGAACCGCTGACTGAGTTTTTAGCAGGTTTTGTCCATTTGCATGAAAGTTTCTCAAAACCCGCTCTCAGATTCTTATCGCACACGTTCTCTCTCCGACCCTGCGATAATTACCGCCATAAGCGATTTCGAAGATACGCAGGAACTTCACTTTGTAGTTTCTGAAGGAACTGTCAACCAAAAAAGGCATCTTACAGAAGGAAATCAATACAAAGTTATATGATGTTCAACACAATTTCTGGGTGAAGCCTTCGGGTACTGTTTCTGCAAACCAGGCAGGATTGTTTCTGTTTCACTATCATACGGGCTTCCCACTTGGAAAACTTGGATATGACATCTATCTTTTTGCCCGGGTAATGCAAAACCCAGAATCTTTGAGAATGTGGATGCAAATGCTCCATAGTCGAGTTAATCTACGTAGGCTAAGTGCTGGTAATAAAAGGCCTCGGCTGTTAATATCAGCTGCTAATCAACTATAGCTGCTAACCACAAGATGGGATAGTGCGGTAGTACTTGACCGACCATTAGAACAACTATAGGAAAACTACTACTCTTATTCAGTTCCTTGGCAGATTTTTAAAGAGCCTAACTATTGTCAGGGCTTCACGGTTTAGGAGAACCCTCGAAATTCGAAGTCACATTAACTTACGGGTCCCTTAACCGACCACGAAAGTTGCTTGTTTGGGTGTCAAGATTGCGGGCTATATTTCAATGTTGAAACTGGTCCCTTCCTGTTCCCTTTCCCATGCACGATTCCCCCTTCTTTCGCCCCACAATCGCTCTTCAAACAAGTCCGTAAGTTTCGTGTTGGTATTCCTTGCACGTCAAAGTAAAAAGGCCTCTGGACGACCAAAACTTTTCACGATGACGGAACGTCGGCCTTTAGCTCGTTTTTCTGTTGATACTGGTGGAGGTCGTTTATCTGAGAGACGTTCCACTACAATTACCACGCCGTACATCATCACGCATGAAGTTCTGGCATGACTGACGTCAGGAGTAACATAACTGGCTCTTAGACTACCAAATCATGTAGATTTTGAAGGATTGCTTGCAATAATTAAATCAAGGGAGTCAATGAAAGAATTCAGATGGCTGAAGCAGCGGATGGGAGATTAGAAATAAATGATTCATTCCTCATTACCGATAGGGATCTAGTCACGATTCAGCCTCCAACAGTAAAAGTATTCCGTATAAATGGCTCACTGATGGAAAAGGTTCGCGATTTCCTTCCCAGGAGAAGAAGCTCCGGAATAAAGAGGTTCAATTCAGATAAACCTTTCAGAATGCCGCAGCATTTGCACTGACAAAGAAGGCTATACTGCGGAAAAATTACCTCCAGTAAATAAAATAATAATAGAAAATTAAAGAACCTTACGCGAGGCTGCAGGATTGAAGATGAATGTGTCCTCTGCGTTGTGAATCTACCTATGGTGCAGTGGGAAACAAATTAACCTAAGGATCCCGCTCACGAATGCTTCAGACATTGAGTAGAAGGACGCTGAGAGCCACAAAGCCCCGTCTTTTCACTAATGCTCCTTCTAAGTAGAAGGAGGAACACGCAGCTAGCTTCAGGGATGTTACTTAACATCCAGGAAGTTGAAAATTGCAAAATGAAAATCGTAAACAAAAACACGACTTTCAAGAATATATATATGTCCAAGAATATATGATAGATACATCATTTTCGCTTCCTAGGACCCACACACTACCCAGTCGATAATTCCACAAAATTCCATTACCATGCAATTTGGCTTCGAGGACAAAAATAGCAATACTCAAAACTACGAAACTAAGTTAAATCAAAAAAGTTTATTCGGAAGTGTCATACGGTAGTGAAAAGCCATACTCGCCTTATTTTGAAAGAAAACGGTTGTAGAGAAAAGAAAAGAATGCTGAGAACATCTGTCAGGGTAGTCAGAGGTAGCAGCGAGTCTCAAAAAGAATCTTCGAAACGAAGAAAAAAGTGAGAGAACTTTCGGACTTTCGAAGGTTACAAGCGGAATTCCCTAGTTAGTTGTGGACATGTGAATCAAAGGATCCTCTTTCATCCTGCCGTGATATTGAATACGGCCGGTCCTCGTTGCGTATGTGATGGAGTAGGGTGCTCTTGATTAACCGAGACTCAAACCTATCAATCACTGATGTGTTTCTCGGTATGTATGTCATAGCACGACCACTGCAAGCAGTGACCCACTTTTTCCAAAAATTACTGCGCAACTTCGTAACACTTCATTTTTTTCCTAGGTATGCCTTTGTAGAAGATAATCAGGCTTTTCTTGAGTTTTTTTTTTTAGATAAAAGTTTTCCCCGGAAAGTTAAGAACCGTGGCGGTCTTCACCAGCTGTGGAAATAACAGTGGGATCCAACCCGGCCCCACCGCATGCAATTTATTCCCTTATTAAGAACAAAAAAAAAAGATTTAGTAAATCAAGAAAATTCAAAAAACCAACACAAAGGACTGCAGAGTGAAGGAATCTAGTACCGTCTTCGATGTGGGGACGTTTGAGAAACGTTAGTCACCTTATACTCCTTTTGCTTAATCAATGTCCATAACCTATCTATGATGATGATGTCACCCAATAAATCGCTCAATTACTAATTCCCTGAGTTTATGGACAACATCCGTGTTCAATACCGGGAAGGGCAGTGGATCATGGGCTTTAGGTCCATATCATTGAACAAATATATCGACTACTCCGAGTGATTGTTAATTGATAGGATTAATCACCTGCTCAAAGAAGAAAAAGCATGACAGTGGTGCGTGATTTTCATTTTTCACATTCCCCGTTAATGTCCACTCGCATGGGGGTAGTATTTGTTCAGAGCAACGAACGGCCGCTCCTTCATTCAACCTTCGATCCAGCTATATATTACATCTAACACCGATCAAACTGAGCCTGCTGCTGTTCGCTCCCCACCCATGTGAGCGGGTGAGTGACAGGCAAAGGAAGAAAGAGTATTATGAATAGGAGGAGGTAATAGAAATGCATCAGCAAAGATAGCGAACCTGGAATTCGTGAAGCATTCAATGATCTCCAACATCTCTTTGCCATATTTTGCTTCAGCTTGAGCCCTGAACATCGATTTCAATCAGTAACGATTGATAAACTCCTTTCGATTTTTACTAAAACACTAGAAGAAAGCTATTTTCTCTGCAATGAACATATCTTGCTTACTGCCTTCAACTTTAAAAATTATCAGTTAAACATTTCTTAACGGCGATAGTTATCTCGAAGAGGAGTGTGCTCGTGCCTGACTATCTGCTTTTTCGCTAGAAAAAACGCAGCAGTGAGTGCTGGGGTCCGTCTCACACTGTGCCAGCAATTCTTGAAAATTTTTCAACTAATGTAGGGTAACGATGGGCACTCTCCTTCGAATTATTGAGTCAACATCAATATTTCTCCCAAATCCAGAAGCTTCAGGTCTCCAAAATTGCGGGAGTGCTTCCCTCAAAATCTATCGGAAAATCATTTGTTTATAGAACCGACTTAGGTTAGTACCACAAGCCAAGTTTATAAGTAGCTGTTGAGCCCTTTGCATAGTATAGATTGTACCTGGCCACATGCCAAGGCACACAGCTGATCAAATAGTAAGACCTATTGGATTTCACCCTAACTGGGATGGGTATGTAGTGCGCTGGTGTGAGGTGGTTCACATTTCGACTAGGTCCGTCGACAAAGTTTTGCAGAGGTTTTATCGAACAATAATGCCATCGATCGACAAAGATCGACAAGACGACCACTTGAATCTTCAGGAGTGTACCAGTTCTTCGGAAGTACCAACTACTGGTGGCATGACTACACGCGACTATTTCTTTCTTTTCATGATCATGAACAAAACCGACGTTCATGGCGTATACCGAGCTCGATTTGTCTTAAGGTCGATTTCGCACCCAAGCAATCGATACAACCTTTCAATGGAGCACAAAAGAGCAACGTTCCAAAAGTTTCAATTCGATGATCAGAGGAGTACATACCACAACAGATTGTTTGAACGATATTCGGGTTCCTAGTCACTCAGCTCCCAGATCCCAGAGTTCCCAGCTGCTGTTCGAAAAACGTCATCGAGCCTAGAGTTCCGTTTCGCTTTTCTGTTTGTACTTTTTCTTGCCTTCTCATAAACTGATTCAAAGTAAGATGTCGGAGTGGTTCAACATTGTTTGCCGTCATTCATCGCAGTGCCGTCCGTGTAGAAGGTTTTTCATTGTTTTCCTATGCGATAAGAGAGCCCTGTGCCGAATTCCATGATTTGGCCGATACTGCAAAGGTAGTGGAACCACTACAGCAAGAAAAAAACTAGCACTTTTCCAGCCCAGTATGCAGTAATTTCTGCATTGAAGAAGGTCATTAAGGCAGATGAATTTGAGTCACATAAATTTGTTGGAGCACATAAAGTTCTTAAAATACAAATAAATCACAATTAGTGAAAAAGGCGAAAAAGGTCTGAAAAACGAACAAGCGATGAGCAAATTCAGTGATGGAGTAGTCGCCTTGTCCCATAGCGCGAAGGTGGCGGAAGAATGCTCGGGTGCGCAGTCACCGTTCCGCCCACCCCGTCGTCGTCCCAGCCGGCGCACCCGGGAAGAAACTGACTGCTGCTCTCTTGACTCACGTGCCCTTTACGCGGCGCTACCACCAGCACCCCCTGCAGAAGGGCGGCGAATTCGTCAGAAATGTCGTCACAAAACCTGAAAAAAATGCAATTTTATCTGGTCACATCAACAAACACTCACACACACATATGGCTTGGGCGAATGTCTTCGACCAGGAACATCAATGGGGGCAATTGCCACGGTGACTCAACACTGGGCAAAAAGAGAAATGGAGTTTTCGGTCACCCCTTACAAAAAATTGGGGCTACCTTTCACTGACCAAAACCTTTCGTGAGTGTCGTCTCCATCGAAATGGGAGACCCAGTTTGGAGAGTAATGATATCCTGATGAACTAGATCGATCCCATTTCGCCCATTTACCCGCGTTAACCTATTTACAGTGATCAAAGTTAAGAGAGATTAGAAGGGAATGGGATTCTGTAATGGACAAAAACATCTTTACGCAATTTTACTCAGATGATGTGGGAACCCTTAGGTTAAATAACCTTCAGCACAGATTTTTCCAATGACTCTACATCCTTTCTACCTTCGTCGTCCCTACCGAAAGGTGAGATTCGTAGGAGTATTGTTTTTGTGGTGGCCCATTATTTAGAGCTTTTTGGGTCATAAATACTGCCATTCACCCAAACACAAGTGATTTGGAGCCTCGTCTGGAAGTTCTGCACTTCAAGCTTATCCAAGTTCTTGGGTAGAGTCCTAGAGCCTTTTGCCCTTTGCACGGTAGTCTTCAAGAGGTGTTCTTCATCCCAAACGAACTCTCCTCACATTTTACAAACTATCCAGTGAAGAGCCTGAACTTCTTCCAGTTGTTCAGATAGTGCAATAGTAAAGAAGAGCCTCCAAACGCGGCAATCCGGAGATCCTGCTAATGATTACCTAGGTGTGGTGTAATCGCGCACTAACGATCACCAACCCTCGTCTGAGGTCTGTCGCCACTGGAAACGGCATTTGTGGTTGGTGAACGGAGAAGAAGTGTTTCGATTGGAACGATGTCCCAATTTTTTCATTCGCTTCAGTGCGACCTTTTCGCTGATTGATCGACTTGCGAATGAAACCGCAAAAATTGTCGTCTCCCAAAAAGACGTCATCCAATCGTTTCTGGGTTCCCACCTCGCCAGAGAGGCGCCTACGGGAGGGCATAGCTCACTATAATTTTGAGGTGCCTTCTTTATGTTGAAGAGCGGAAGTGTGGATGTAGAGGAGAACATCGGCGGCAAAAAGGCGAGAGAATCCACCTACTTTATTGCCTTCAAAAGTGGTGGAAGTGGAGGTTCTACGCGATCACCGTGACGGGAATGGCATGTAAGGGTATTTGGACGAGTTTCAACTTTCTCCCATTGCGCAAAGAGATGACTCTATCAAGTCGAATTGTCCAAAACTGCCTTCCACTGTTGCCATGGTTTATGACAAGCTGTTAGAATTTCCTACATGAGCTTGAGATAGTGTGGAATCTACAAAGCCGAGGGAACTCGTCCACTATGGGTGTGACATTCACACGATTCAATCTCTGACCCGTTATTGTCTCTATCCTGGAAGTTTTTTGAGCTTATAACGGTAGGTATGGTATTATTGAGAAAAACCATTTTTATCGTGAATTGTGCCTTTAAAGCAGTTCGGAAAGCAGGAGTCAAAAGCTGAGGAAAAAGGATAGAATTCGAGTAGGTTGACGTGCAGAACTGTAGCTCACTTTTCCGAATTCTGGAAGTCAGAATTCATCCCTTACTACAGCCAAGTTCATGTTCATGGTTGCAAAAGCCTATTCTGAGCTTTGGTGAAATATTACTTCGAAGGGCGGGCACAATCCCGAGATTGGATTTCAGATCGATATCCGCTAGACAGATTTGTCTGGGAGGATAAGAGTAGTGACTTGTACATCGGCTGGCCATCGCAAGTCATTGTATAAACTACATTCAATATGCCACGATGATTCTGAATGGAGGTCGAATGCGTGGGCGCACCCCTCAAACGGGATTGATCAAGGCCTCAAAATTTCAATTACTTTGAAACTGTCAGATATTCGTCTTGTGACCATTGAAGAACTAACCGACTTTCTCCCTGGGATGATCTGGTAGTTCGACTAACAGCTATCTTCGAGCAAATATTTGTTCTGTTCACTGAGTTGTGCGTTCGCCTGTAGTTCTGATCCTTTTTTCTCCTCTAAGGCACCTGCAACAGCAATTATCCCATCTCTTCCCAGGGCATGCGTCACTACCAACCATTTCGCCAACAACTTTGCAGTAGCCGTAACTATTGTGGCATCTCACAATGGTAAATAATTGTATCCATAGAAGGAAGGTGTAATTGTGACTCACGCTTATGACGGCAGAACTACGTCAGAACAAACAAAAACTGCCCAACACATGAATGCAACTTCTCATCGAACAGTCTAATACGTGAATCTGACGTTTTTGCTCAGGGAGAAAGGTTGATTCAGGTATTGTCTGCTCTTGGCTCCTCGTATCTGCGTGTAAGACGGTGTCATCACACCGCACCAGGATTTACTGCAAAAGCCGAGCATGACCAACATTTCTGGCGCTTGGTGGGTTTATGCTTGGCTCTGCGCAAATCTACCATGAGTTG